TTGTATAGACGTCATTGAGTCCTAGGCTAAAAGAAGCACTCCACTACGACGACTTCACGTGACATCTATAAATAGAAAAAATGCCTTAACGAAAAAGTGAAAAGTTCAACACTACCCCGGGGATTATTCATTTCTTTTTGAGAAAATAATTATGTGAAAACATCACTGGGTCGTGAAATGTGCTGCTAGAATCCAACTCTCCTGAAACGGAAAAAATTATTTAAAAGTTTCGCATGAAACCTTACTAATTTTTTTTACATTTTGCACATAAGATCAATGAATTGTCATCAATTCATGTTAACCACACGATTCTAGTAACACTTCCTAAGTATTATAGAATACAAGCTTTCAATACAAACAAAAATTATATTTCAAAGTATGCGGCGTAGTGTTGAACTTTTGCAGTTTTGTTGTTATAGAACGACAGAAGACAGGCTGATCGGGTTTTCAAAACACTGTCTGTGTTCATTTTAAGAAAACATAATAAGAATAAATTAGCGTACCTGATTCTTATCTTTAATTCCTTATGAATCACATATGACATTCACTGTATATTCTTTAAAACACCCATTTCATGTATTTGTTTACATGCATTCTCGTCACGTTAAGTTTCACTCGACAAATATTTGATCAATAGTTATGACGTCATGGGTTTGGTATTTAACACCTGCGATAAATACTTAGCTATTTATACCACCCAAAAATGACAAGATTTAGTTTATATTATGTTTTTGAATGAATTCAATAATTTCTTGGACCTGAAATTATACTTTAAATACAGATATGAAGAAATCATTATCTCTAAAGTTCACATCATACAGCTTACTATGACTTCATATTATATAGGCATGTAGGTTAACTGGGTGTAGTCTTAACATACCTGCGTTGTGTGCTATCCATTTCTTCAATGAAATATACGGAGATAACGAACAGTATTCAAGCTCAAAAGGGCAATAAACAATACAAATTTTGGAGCAGAGCAAACACGGACCTCTAAAACATCAGGCGTGGGATCTGGTGCCATGGAGGAGTGAGCATCCCCTGAAGACCGTTCACACCAACTGTTTGATCATTGTCATGATCGGGAAATAACGGAAAAATCCGTCGCAATTCAAAGATCTTCACAAGGGAATCGGTTTCAGAATAGTGTATTTTGTATGTTGTTTGTTTTTCTATGTGTGTCAAAATATATTGATTACAATAAAAATCGAAAATGGCTCGAATTAGCAGCTTTAAAAAGAGTGGTATTTCCATGTACAAAAAATATTATATGAGATAGTCAAATGGGTTTTATACAAAAAAAAAATTGAATCTAGTATGCTATATTTTAAATTAATTCATAACTTTGACTCTGCCAGATTAATGTTTTTGAAACAAATCTGATCATTTCTGGGTTACGTTTTTTTTTTTTTTTTTTTGAATTTAGGATCTGAATAAATTCAAACATCAATACGCGGCTGCTTATGTTGAAATAATGTTTCATGATTTTGCCTCAATCTCATTTTAAAGGTCAATGTCATGACAATAAGTTCATTCATTGATTGGGGCTAGTAATTGATGAAGGATACAGAAAGTCTGCTTTTTGCAACTACAACAACCAAAACAGAAAGTTAACTCATGCATATAGTGTATTGCACTTTAAAAATTATAAAATTCTAATTAAAATGTATAAAATTTATCAAAAATTCTCGTAGTCTACGCTAAAATATCTTGAGGTGTGTGATTTTTTTTCTCGTAAACTATTTGGTGCGATACATAATCTGAAATTGTTTTTGTTTACTATTTTTTTTTTAACCAAGTAAAAAGATACGAATATTAAAAAAACACTTCTACACCACAAGAATGTACTGTCAACGAGATGTCAAATCAAACTTTTAGAAATCAACACGTGATAATGGGTACTTTAGGATTGTATTTCTTTCTCAGTATGGCGCTTTCAGATCAATATTTAATTGCCTACCCACCTACCAGTCACACATTTAGTGTTAGGAAATATGTAAAATCAGTTCATATTTCATCAAGGTGGTTGAATCGTGATCTTAAACTTAATGGATGTCCTAGTTTCCAAAAGTTCAATTTGTCTTGCGCCTCTGAAACGTGATTGGTAAGGAACAAAAATGTAACAGTAAGAGCCACCCATCCAAGGGTTTCTCTGTGTCACAGCCTCTTAATATGACATCAGAAAAGCTACGGCACTAGGGAGCAGTTTGATACAATCAACCCTCGCTTTCTTTCCAAAGCTAAGCATAGATCCTCTCTGACTGTCCAGGGTTTCTGCAGTAATGGCAATCTATACCGCCCATGAACGTATGCTAAGTCAATATCTATTGCATTTTAGTTTACCTTTAATGCACACTTATGAGACATCATAAATTAAACTGAGGATAATTCCGTATACCTTATATATATATATATATATATATATATATATATATATATATATATATATATATATATATATATATATATATATAAAGTGGGACCGCTTGACAGGGGATCCTTACTCCTCCTAGGCACCTGATCCAACCTCTGGATTTTTCAGGGGTTCCTATTTTATGTCCTGTTTACAGATGTATTTGACAAAAACTATGTTTTGTTTGTGTGTGTGCTTGTGTGTTTTTGAAAGGGGGAGGGGAGAAATATTGGAATAATTAGGGTTTTTTCTTACATATATACAAAATTAGCTACATCGATAATCGATTCATTTAATTATAAAATTAACCATTGAAGTAATTGTTTCAAAACTTCCATCATATCTCCACTGCAGTTCCTGCAGGTAGTCTAGTTTTTTGGAACGCTATTTTGTACATAAAGAGTTACATGTAACCCCCCTTGACTCCTCCCGTTTTATTCACGAATTAAAGCATTTCCTTTAAATTTATCAAACATATAAATTAAAGACAAGTAACAACAAAGGCACAAAATTTAATTATTTTTGTAATAACAATAATGATAGAACATAGCTTTGTTTTTTAGTATAAAAATACAGAAATCGATTTCGTTCCATTTATATATGTCAACAAATAACTTATGAAACCCTGCTTTTTAATAACATATTTTCTTTCATGTTTTGTATGTAGTAAACAACAAAATTTCAGATTGGATAAATATACTAAGATTTAATTAACAGTACTTCAAGTTATTTTAGTAAAGAAAATGTCTGCAATATTTCATAGAATTTTACACATTTTGTTTTAACTTTACAAACATTATCGTCAAAAAGTGGATCTATGCAATATCTATATGGTGTTTTAATAGGTTGTATGCTTGACAAAATACACTTCACATATATGGTGCAATTTTGTTTCTTTTCTTTTTAATTTTGTTTTCCTTTTTTTTTTTCTATTTTGCGCGTGTAAATTCATTCTCAAATTAATTTATCAAATTAAATTAGAAAATATAATCTTTGTGCAAGTTTGCTTTTTATACCCTCTTGAATAAGGCATAAAAGGATGCAAGAAGAGAATAAAACAAGATTTAAATAATATCCAACCAATAGTGAATTACAAAGAACCTGCCCGAAAGTCATATTTACCCACTGTTTGGCGTTTTATATATCTATATCGCATACATGTTCAATAATCAACAAGAACCATGTAACTCAACAACAAATACATACCACGTATGTGTGCTTATTTTAGCGAAATCAAAATTTTCCAAACCTTTAGGGCAAATCAGTGACAACCTGTATGACGGATAGGATTCCTAATATACACGCTCTCAAATAGAATTCACAAATTCTCATGTTGGTGTCTTATATTTCGTTATTTCTTGGTTAGAAGAAACCCATGAGTTCAAGCCCTCCACAAAATGTTAAAAACTCTACCTACAGTGTAATTTTCACTCCGTCAAACAACGATAATTTGATCACAAATATGTGATTTCGGTATTCTAAGAATTCCTAAAAGCGTTTATTGACAATTGCGTGAATTGATCACTGACATATTTCTGTGGAAATTGTTTATGCGCTAAAATAAGAACACATACAATGGTACAAACTAATTTTTCACCAAACGAATTATCATGAAGTATTACAGTGTTGTTTCATATAACTAAGAATATCACAATGTAGAATAATACAAATATGCAACGTACCTATTGTGATTAATATTGCGTTAGGATTTCTTTTCTCGGAATATTTTTGCGCTGGTCTTTATGACGTATGAAATGCTGATCTGAACATTATGTTATTCAATAAGAAGCGGTGGGTTAATAATGAACGGTCTTCTCATAATATATATTAACTAAAAATGCGGATCCTTTATCTGTAATAAATAATGCCATACCGGGAACTTTTTAAAACTTAACATGTCTTTGTGGGTTAATCCCCTAGCACGTTCTTTCCATTTTCGTTCATTTCATCGGAATTTTTCATATTGAACTGAGTTTAGGAGGCGTGAAACTCTGCTAGGAGAGATAACTCAAAATTTGATATATCATTAAGAGATAACTCTCTCATTGATATATCACTTATTGAGATAACAACTGATATAATACTAATTGAGATAACTCAACAATTCATATGTATCGCAAAGAGGAATATTTCTGAAATCTGTATATCGACAAGAGAGATAAATCTAACATTGATATATCACCAAGAGAGGTAACTCGAAAATCTAAATTTTGTATATTTCGTTTTGAATCTTTCAACTTTAAACATTGTCCGTCTCCCATTTTGCTCCGATAGTATGATTCATATTCTTTTATTGCAATTTTATCCACTTTTCTGTTAGAAAATTGCCTAAGTGAAGAAAAATTCATTTCATTGATCAGAGAATTGCTTTTTTTGTAAACGATAGAATAACACTGTAAAGGGAATGAAAAAATGTTTTTCATAATTCGAAGTTCCATTCACAAAATACAATAGAGATACAATGTTACGCATATTAAGATGTTTAACGATTAAAATAATGTAATGTATCTATTGGTGGCTATATACAGTGAAAATCAAATTTTTGATCTTTTTTTACACAATTAAGCATGACTTAAACGAAAAAAAATCAATTTTTGACCAATATGTTGTACACTTTGGAATGATAATTCCTCACACATTTAACTTCTTTTACATCTTTATCTGTTTTTCTTTTGATGCCCTTTGTTCTGTTGTTTGGTTTTCTGCAAAGAGAAAATTAATGTTATCTTCATATTGTTCAAACAGTATTCATTATGACTTAATTAGGGTTCCTGTATGAACTGTTGCTCTTTTAATCTCGATTTGCATTATGCAAGGTAAGGTATTTATTGGCTCTCCAAATTGGATTCTACACATAAAGAGACACTTGTAATTATTTCTTTTAGTCCCAATGTATTGGAATAAAATTACAATATATAAAACAGTATATATTTTTACAGAGGATACGTAAAATAAAATCAATGCAGACTAGTTAAGGAGAATAATCATCTTGAAGACGATTAATATGCAAATATACAAGGGGACAAACGCAACTGGGGGAGGGGGAATGGGGGGGGGGGGGGTCATTATGCTTTGATTCTATACCTTGAAATTATGGGTAACACTTATTCCCTCATTTAAAATGCCCTCTTTTTAAAAATCCTTATAAAAATACTATTTAAGAGTAAGGTACCTTTCTCTGTCTTCTCTTTAGACTTTACTTTTTCATTTATTGTTTCTTTCTCCTCTGTTTTCAGGACTTGACCCTTGTTTTCATGGTCACCTCTGTCTGAGGACCTCTGAAATGAGGAGTCTTGCAGCAGGGTGTCCTCATAATCCCCCAGAGGTCGTTTTTCAAGACTGTTCAGAACCTCATTGGCAAAAATATCATCTGTGAATGAAAATTGAAAAAAAAAAAATAAAAAATACTGATATCATATATGCCAGTTTTTTGCCTGTCATTTTTTTTAAAATGTTGTGTAAGCTTGATAAAATTTTCATTGATTCACAACTTTTATTTTCAGAGCATATGGATAAATCATGAAATTGTCGGGTATCATACCATAAAATTGGATATTGAAAAGAAAACCCAATACAAAGGAGTTTTGTTTTTCTTCTTTGCATTTTATTTGTAAGTTAGTTTTGTTTTGTTTTGTTATTTTCTTTTCCCCCCATCCATTGCATTGACGAAATAATCATATCCCCTACAGATATTGTTGTTATGTACATTTTACTAAAAAAAAATATTTCATTACTTTTCAAAAATGAAAACAGAACAAATTAATCCTCTTGTTTTGTAATTGCATGCAAGTAATCTTATAAATCACCACTTACAAAGTATTTCTCTCATTTGAGACAGATCATCCGGGTTACTGTCCTGGGAAACATGGCGGAGAATATCGCTCAACAGGGCGGCTGCTTCCGGATCACCTAAATAAATAAGTTCAATGTCCTTCACTGATAAGAATAAATAGATACGTTTACCATATGTAAAAATGGTCAATAATGATCTGTGATTTGATAATGTGGATATTTACAGGAACAATGACATGTATTGTTAATAGAAGTTCGACAGGTACAGTTTGAAGAATTTTTCGAGATCAGCCATAAAGATTTACATGCATGGGTTCTCAGAGTGTCAAAATTATCACACAGTCTCTCAACAACCAATCAATTTGTCAAACATTAGTTGATATCATGAGTATTCATGAAACGATTTTCCTCTTTTATTTTCTGGGGGATAATAAAAGGTTTATTATATAGTGCATACATTTTCAAGATTTTATCTCCATTTCTAGACCATATATTAAGATTGGGTGGCGGCGGATTATGTGCAAATGTCTCAGCAATCAAAGATTAATATACAGTGAAAGTGACTGAGATCAGTTCAGGCTATTCGCAGAAAACATTCACAATGCTCTATCGTTTAACTCTGCAATTCACTAAGAAGTCAGGAACAGATAGGATACAGCAATGTCATGAGTAAATCACGTGAACTTTTTAATATGTCTGGAGCCATGGCTTTAAATAAAATACCGGGTTAAATCTTGTTTTCAATACAGTTGAACTTCTATATCTCGAACACTTGTGTCTCAAATACCATGGATACCAGAACTTAGTTGGAAGCCCTAACTACGTTTTCTTTATGTTAACTTCAGTATCTCGAATATGTGGATCTCTATAGATTATTTTCTTGTTCCCATCTTGTTCGAGATTACTGTACATACAAGTCTTGAAAAACGGCCTGATGATTCACCATTTGGTAAGTCGTTTTATCACTACCTGTCATGGTGGCTTTAGCCAGCCATTCATCCATAAGCGTTCTAATGACTTCGATCAAAGAGGAAGCACGTGACAAGGCAACTCTCATGATATCTTTGCTCTGTAACTCGTCAATGCCTAAGTGAGGGATGACGTCACTGTAGCCGAACATCCGGTAGATGTCATTTAAAGTGGAGTAATCACTCAGGAATCTTTCGTTTGGTTCACCTCTGAGCATGTTCTGATAAATATATGGAAAAAAAATTCTGAAATTCATCCCCTTTGATTTATGCACGTGATAAATATTGTATTTTTTATTTAATTTTAGATAAGGAGGACAATTAACTTTATTTCATAATTATGATAAATAACAGAAATTTACATTATGTTTTGAACTTATTTCGAATAGAATAATAGATGTATTATTAATTATAAGGGAAAAAATCCATATTTTAAAAACAGATGACCTTCACGGAAAACAATCATTCATTTTAATGAATGGCTATTTCGGTGAAAGAGAAAAGATATTAATGCAAGAGTCTGTTGCATCAGTAGGTCCATACTAGTTCACGATTGTATTAAAGTTCGTGCAAATTAATTTCTTCCTTTTCACAAGTAATACAGAGATACCTCAAACTGAGTTACCAGTCCCTAAACTTGTCTCAACACACAGTACAGTTCAACTCCGAATTGAAATATCAAGATAAATGGAAAACTTATATTTTTTTATGTTATTTTGACCGATTGTATCATTGCCCGAGACTTTTGTTTTCATATTAAGAGAATTTTTGATAGAAGTTATTGAAAGTGCCAGAACACTAGTATAGGCAAAAGCATGAGGCAATTGGGATACATGTAAAGCCATTCAACGGATTAATGAATATAAAAGCAAAAGGGATACACAGTGGGCAATTCTCAAAATAATAATAATAATAATTGACTCAATTAACTAAGTTTCGGTGCTCTGGATCTGTCAGAAATGCCAGAGTATTTAGCCCCCCCCCCATCCCAAGTAGCCTCCAAAAACAGAAGACGGAAAGTCAGTTCCGGTTACCATATTGGCGCTGGACGCTTGTTGAACAAGAAGGTTGTATTCTTTCCTCACGTCCTCTCTGTACGTATCCGCCTGCTGTTGGGTCATCTGAAAAAAAAAAATCAGGTATTATACAGTTAAACATTGATACATGTACTATAAAGGAGAATTTTCGTCCCCATTTTATTTTCACCCGTTTTGCCCTTATCGCGAGTAGGCGAAATTTTTAAGAAGGACAGCATTATCTCGTCAACAAAACTATTTCTGGGCTAATTAAAGACGGAGAAAAATTATTTGCAGATGTGCCAGAGAGAAAATAACCCAGTATCTGAAACATCAATATCTCGGATATCAGAAACTGGTATGTCGAAGAAGAGTTGGAAGTCCCAACAACTCTAAACAGATCAAAAGACGTACCCCAGAAGACAGCCATTTATAATAAAAAAAATAACTTTAAACTTATTTCATGCAAGCAGCTCAAGGAATATGAGACTTGCAGGAAATATTTTAAAGGATTCTTTGAAATATAATATATAATTATATATATATATTTCATTGTTTGTTTTCATATAACAACATAATTATTTCCTAAATATTCCTGATTGAGGTTTGCTGACAGATTTATATTAAAAAAACCCTGTAATTTCATTGCTAAACAAGATATTAACATGTTTCGTTATTAAAGAAAAAAAAAGTAATTAATCGTTAAAATGTTATGAGACAAAGACGTCCTTATATTTGTGTAACTTTCTTCGCTGAAAGTATACTAAATATTCCCTGACAAAATCGATTAGATATGGGCGCGCCAGGCAAGTGACATTTCCATTTGATTTCTTTTGAGAAATTAAATCGTCAAACCTGCTAGAATTTCCAGCTTTTTTTTCATTAGAGAACGTTACAAAATCGCGCTTCGTTTGAAGTTTTTTTTTTCTGTAACTCTTGAAAGACGTGAAAATATATCGTTTGTAATTTTGTCTGCTTCTCCGCTCCAAAAATACTTAAATATCAAAGCACTCTGCGTTTCAGCCATGTAATTTCCCTCTGAAAATGATTCTTAATTCTCCTGTATTATATTTACCTATGTTAAAAAAAATCTTCAAGTGGCTTGGAAAATTTTTAAGTCGGAATAGGTTATTATATAAATATTATCTCCTCTTCATATCATATTTGATGTTTGGTGATATTATTCGGTACATATATAAATAGTTCATGGATTTATACATTATCCTGACGCTTATTTTCTGCATTATCGTGACCTCATTACATATTTACATATATAAGGTGATTATCACAGGACAGGCAATTGGAATTCACCACCTTTCATTATGTAAATGAATGTCCTTCAATCATAGATTTATTTATCAACATAAAAAGAACAGCCTTATATCGGAAAATCTTCTGAATGGAACAATTAATGGTTAACCATAACCACACCGGAAGTGACAAGTCACGATTTTCTGACCAGTAAAGCCATTACGGATGGTAAATGACGTCATAATTGACTTAATTAGATCGGATTCAATTTCCAGCTCCTCCAAGAGTTGTCCATTAATATTTTTCGACATGTACTTTAGCATGTAGATTAATGCTTCTTTTGTTTCTTGTGAAAAAGGCTTCGCCCGTCTGTTTATCTCGCTTTCCATTATGGTTAATTAACTTGTTAATTCCTTTTTTGTTTCCGGAGTTGCATGAAGCAGGGATTTTTTTTTCTTTTCTGCTTTGTGCATTAAGACATTACTCAAATATAGGGAAAACGTTTAATCAAGTTGAAAATGCAATAATGACTGTATGTATGGTTTGTAGAGTAGATACATGTAGTAAAATAAAGCGCGTATATGGAAGGGTTCTCGTCAATGAAAAAAAAAAAAAACTGATATGTTTGAGTAGATTTCATATCTGCTTCATGTACATTTCTTTTCTGTGCCAGATAATATCTAGTTTGGGTGACTTTTTAACTTTTCTCAATTTCTCAATGAATGGCAGATAGTTATTCAGAGAACACTAATCTACTTCAAGCTATTGAGGCTGTCCTAATCCTAAACGCAATTCCAGCTGATCTCTTTATCAGACAATCACAGCAATTCCTGGAATAAATACAAACCTCAGAAATCAACCATGTCTCCAGTTACTGCACAACTTTCTTTTATCTCTGCTTTTAGCACAGGAAACCTTTGTAATATTTGGAAACAGAACTTTTGACTCCGGGACGCAAATAACGCAAAAGAGCTCTTCAGCAATATAATGCATGATGAAATTATTTTAATAACCATCCCAACACTAAATAATCTGGTTGATTATTTGTTGTTTTACGTCCCCAACAAGTTTATTTAACTCATACGAGACGTCACCAGATACCGGTGAAGGGTTTCAAATCGTTCCAAAACCGGCCTCACACCGCACAGGTCCTTGGGTTTTAAGACTCGCAACGTTCATTTCAAAGTGCCGATCGCTTGGCTAAGAAACAGTAATCACCTATCTTATTTTATTGGCTTAAATTTGTCGTGATCAGGGCTTGAACCCACGACCTTTTGATCAAATAGAGGGCGCTCATCAGACTAAGTGTTTGTGACGACCTGGTGGTATGTGATTTGAAAAAAAGTCGTTCTCAACCGTAAAAATAAAAGAGTTAGTATCGCATATTCATTGCTTCTGCAAATAATTTTCTATTACAATGACACTGTCATTGTCCTTTGATCGACTGTGCATTTTCTTTCTGGGGCAATAAACATTCTTCTTTAAGAGTAAGAGACAGGTATAAGGGGACATATTATATAAATATTGCATGTACATTGTAGTTGAGTGTAACATTGAAAATTTTCACCCCAAGAAAACCATTGTCAACCGAGGCGCAGCCGAGGTTGACAATGGTTTTCGAGGGGTGAACATTTTCAATGTTACACTCAACTACATGCAATATTTATTATATTATAATGAATGTTCTATACAAATACATATAACAGTGAATCTTGCGCGCATAAATTCTGCGCAGTCACTATTTTTTTAGAATATCACCCGTCGTCAAGCATTTCCGACTGTTGCTATGCTGGAGGGCGTGGCTTCAGTATTCAGCGAGTAATAGTGTTTTTAACAAATGTTTCTCGACGAATCACAATCAACTAATTTACATGAAAGTATAATACAATAAAGGCTAAATACTAAATATTCACAATCCTGTTAAGACCGAGTAAGAAGAACACCGCCTAAAATGTACAATATTAAAAATTAGCTGACGAGGATATAAAATTCCATATGAAATTTTGTCTTAATTGATAGGGCATGCTAAGTTCATATGAAGTAATGGCTGACGTCATTAAAATTTGTCTTTCGTTGCCTTCATGTCCACAATCTATTGATCTTCGATCATGACATCGCTGTCAAACCTACTAACAGAGATAATTGCGTTATAATAACAGCATCCGGCCGACTTCAGGTTAATATTTATACAAAATATTTTAAAGCGCTGAAATGATACCAATCAGGATCTTTTGAGTGATTTATCTATTTGGAGCGATGTTGGTAGAAGCGATAATTGACAAACACAAAGCGTGCGGATGACAGTGATTTATCAAGCGAAGATCGGGTACCGTAGTTTTTTGATTTAATGTAGAGTATTTGTTCACTGATAGTTACGATTCATTCTCAGTGAAGCAAAAATCAATAATGTCTGTATTTGAACCTAGTTCAAAGCGCTATTTTGAGTTTCAGCACTCCCACACACAGAGAAAGAACACCGATCGTTAGGTATGTTTATACTATCATATTCAGATGTATTATGGGCCAACAATGTATCTTTTTTTTTTAAAACTATGTTGAGTAATTATTGACAATCCAATCATTAATCATCTAAATCGCATTATAAAAAATTAGATTTCTTTTACCAATAATGATATTCTTCGTTTTTAATATGTTAATTTAATGCTTCCAAAATCCCCGAGGGCCCAAAAAAAAAAAAAAAAAAAAAAAAAAAAAAGGCATTCATTAGCTTAACTAAAGGAAAGCTCTCTCTCTCTCTCTCTCTCTCTCTCTCTCTCTCTCTCTCGACTGATGTAAGAATTAAGTATCAAAGGGGGATGGGTATGAAATCTTAAGATTTGAGTTGTTTAGCGTCCTTCCGTGTTTTCCTGTACTGTTGTTCTTTGTTCTTTTAACAAATGATACATTGAATTTACGTTAATGTTCCGCCATATTTATAATGAAGAAATTAAGCAAATTGTTATTTTTATGAACAATTGCGTTAGAAACATTCGCACAAAACAACTTAATATGCGAATCCATATTGTAAGAGTTTTCTATTTGCCTTTCTTGTATATGGCTGACGTCAACTAGACGATATTGTGTTGTGATTGAATATTTTTTTATGAGTTTGACATTTCACAAGAAGGTTTGATTGTTTCTGAGGTGTCTATGTACTCAAGTAAACGGAATCGGAATCTACGATTCTGCTGAAGTACATCTGTTGTACTTTAATAATCGGGATCGAACTCAAGCAAATTTTCAATGACCTCAATAGTCTCTATCCAACTTCATCCGTAAACTAGAGTATACATGTACTTCTAATTCAGTGAATATAAAAAATCTATTTTTTTAACCTAGTTCACAAAATTTCAATGTGAAGAAAATGAAAAATAACGAACAGTGATCCATCTTACAATTAATGTAAACAATACGAATAGATAAAGTGAAGAGAGCAAAAACACGGACTACCGGAAACACTAGAGATGGGATAAGTGCCTAAAGTAGAAGTAAGCACCAACAACGACCGCTCACACTCGCCCGTAAGCCCAGTTACTGATCAAGTAAAGGGAGTAATAAGTGAAAGAAGATGGCCTTAAAATCGGTATGAAACATGCATCAGTCAAGTTACGACCAAGCGATAGGTAGTGTTTGCAAACATATAACTGGTAAAGGTTTAGACTTTCCAGGTTCTAACAAGGGGTAAATTACAGTGATGGGGGATGGCCACTTTCCATTAATTTGAGGACGTATTTTTTTATCACGGAAGAAAGGATGAATAAAAACAAAGATATGTTTTTCTGAACTTTGAAAAAGATTTTTTTTTTTTTCCGTTTCAGGTTAAGCCCGATCTCCATTAATTTGAGGACTTTTTTTTTCACCAAAGAAAGGATGAATAAAAACAAAGAATCAGATTTTTTTTTTAAACTTTGACAAAGAAAATTCTTTCTTTATTTGCAATTAGTTTCAGGTTAAGTCCAATCTGTCACATAATTGAATGAACTGTCCGTGCTTATTCATTTTTCAGGCAAATTAGACTGCATGAATTTGTTCATCTGGACGATCATGGCCACAGATTGACGCAAGACACGAAATATTGATCAAGGATAACCGAAAACCATAAACGTTAGCAATTCCACGCTATAAAAGAAAGCTAAACATGGCTTTACATTTTTCATCGGATTTTATGAATGGCACGGTCGGAGTTATAAACGTTTAGTGGTGGATATTATGTTAGATGATTTCCCAATATAACAATCTAAAAGTTCCTTGGGAACCTACCAAAGACAATTAGATTGCTTTGCGTTTATATCTTGCCTGGTGTTTATGATCTTATTCAGTGGCTAAATCTTTTTCATTTCGTGAATTTATACACAGGTTAATAAATTCGCGTATGATTTAAACTAAAATGTTGTTAATTATACAATAGAAACCTGTCAGAAATTAAAAATATGGGAGAGCAGAAAAAGTAAAACTTGCAAAAAAATAATACTACAACGTTTCATTGTATTTCACGTTTCAGACGGAATTCAAGACATATAAAACAGGTATTTCGAAAGCAGAAATGACAGTAATGCCAAGGTAATGCTTTAAAAGTGTGAAGGATGCGAAGTGTTTGTGTGAAAGGAAAAAAGGAGGGAAAAGGGAGAGAAATGAGAAAGAAAGAAAAACAACATCCACTTGACAAAATTTTATCAAAGATTTGACATACGACACTAGAAAAAAAAAAACCTTGATTGTTTTATCAGTTGGTTTTGCCTATGGAATTATACAGATCTATGCAAAGAATTTTTTTATGAAAATTTGAAAAATCAGTTCAATACATGGGTTCCCTGATGTCAGTAAAACCCATTTTTCATTTATTTGTTTTCGCTTTTTTATACATTCATTCCAACTGTTCATTAAATGTCGAATTAAATTCTATTTGGGGGAAGACACTGAAACAGATAGGATTTTATCAACATATTTCTTGGCTTGTTTTTTGAAATTATAACAAGATATTTATTTCAAAAATCTGAAAAATATAATTATTATTATAATTTTTTCCCCTTCTTAAGATTTGTCCATTTTTCTCGACGAAAAATTTTCTCGAAAGTAGCAGTAAATCTTGAAAGTAAAATATAGGTTACTTGTTTTTAAAATATATTGCTATTTTCTGAAACACTGTGTTATTAATGTTATTTTCATAAAGTCCACCCACAAACCCTGATTTAGTTACTGTCGCTAAAATCGGGTTTAATTGCATTATTGAAAATGACACTAATATCGTGTCGATAAATACGTGAGACCTAACATTTGTTTTATTATTCAAGTTATATGTAAATATTCTAAATCAAGGAAAATGCATATATCAGGCCATCTTCAAAAAAAAAAAAAAAAACAAAAACAACAAACAAAAAAAAAAAAAATCAAAAAAAAAAAAAACTGTTTGGTTGTCCTCTCCCTACCGATTGGCTAAAAATGGCCCGACTCAAAACTTTTTTTTAACCTCCGGGAAGCAATTATTTTTTGTATGTATTCCGGAAAATAGGTTTTGAAAATTCAGCATTGATTTTGAAATTTTCTTTGAAAAAAATTTCTCACCTACCTACCGACTCGATTTTCTCATTCTGAGTCGGGAGTGGGCAAGCAAACATTATTTTAAAGTTAGCCTCATCTTAATATGTTTTTACAGCTGCACTTTCCGTAACCTACATTTTTTCTATTTTATATATATATATATATATATATATATATATATATATATATATATATATATATATATATATATATATATATATATATATATATATATATATATATATATATATATATATATATATATATATATATATATATAGGTATTCCTTCTATAAAGACTCAGATTATATTTATACAAGTGCATGAATAATGTATCGAGTAACCTTGCTTGATTATTACCAGGTGCACATAGCATGATTTTCAGAACCAGTGTTAGTTAATCTCTATGATTAACAACTTCGCACTGATTGGACACCATGTTATCATATTTCTTATAGATTTTTTTTTTTCTCTATATGCGTAAGCTGTCAAGTCTAATGACACTTCCTGTTCCATTTATGGAACTCTTCAAATTAAAGGCGCGTTTTGTCTTGATGCTGTTTCAATATGAGAAATGTCGTGATGGCGACAAACAAAAAATACCAAGACTTGCAGTGTTCTACGTTTGGTAGAATCTTAAGTTAGTCCTTGCTCAAAAAAAATAAAAAATAAACAAAAAACAAAAACAAAAAAAGAAAAAACAAAACACCCCCCCCCCCCAAAAAAAAGAAAAAATAAGAAAGAAAGAAAAAAAAAGAACTTTTGATCCATATAAGGGGATGAAGCATTGAAATAACCAAACAGAAGGTGACTGCAAGGCTTCTTGTTTAATATGCATATTTAATAAGTCACATCTTATTAGACTTCCATACTTTTTGCGGACATTATCTACTTTAGGTGTTTCATAAAAAGAAAAATGAATGCTTAATAAGCCTTTCCTTCTATCTGATATACAGTCACTAGTAATATGGTTTCTGGCAACCATCTGAATACGCTCGGTCATGTACAAGACTGTATTTTCCTGAAATCTCTCGAGATTTTTCACTTTCTTTTCTCTGTCACGCAACAGCAGTAAAACTTTGCTAGCTCTTCAGTGATAAGTAATAAAAGTTTTTCCTGCAGGAAAATAAATCTTCAGATTGTGATGCTAATTGAATATTTGAGTCATGATTAGACATTGTTAGCATTGGAAAACATCTCGTAAATTTTATTCAGTTTGTTAAGTACAACCAATGCTTATGCTATCTCGCTGTTTAATAATGCAATATCTAATAGGCAAAATATTCGGCCAAATCGTCCATATAGCTCCCCCCCCCCCCCAAAAAAAAAAAAAAATTAAATTAAATTACTCTTTAATACAAGAAAGCTTCGGAAATTACGTCGTCAAGCACTCCCTCTCATTAACTTAAAATAATGGTCTTTCAATACTTAAAGAACAGCATGTATTCTCTATATTAATAAAAAAAGCACCGATACTTTGATCAAATTGAAAAAGTAGAGAATACGCATTGTGTGACAATGAATGGCGCGATATGATGTCGGAAATTGAGGCAAAGTTAAGACTTCAGGAATCAATACTGAAAGACATTTTATTCATAAAGTACGGAAATTCCCTCTTGTGAAAACGTAATAATAATTTGTTTCTGTCTCCGCGAAGCCTTTTATGTTGAGCACCAATTAAAAGTCGGAGATAACGGTTCTAATTTTGAGTTAGAAATTAGAAACGGTTTGGCAATTTTTCAAACTTACATGCGATGCACTTATAAAAGTCAAACCTCGCTATCGCGAACTCGATGGAAACGATTGATTGATTGTATGTTGTTTAACGTCCCATTCGAGAATTTTTCACTCATATAGAGACTTCACCGTATGCCCGTGAAGGGTTTCAAATTTAGACCTACATGTATACTCGGCACTCAGGGCCATTAAGCAGTGACGGTTCATTATCGTACAAACGCCTACCCTGACGCGGGACCTTGGGTTTTAACTTATCACCCGAAAGACCCATGACTTTCACTTCTAGTGCCGGGTGCTTGTAGAAGGGACAGTCGATTGAAACGAGAAAAAAACATCGAGATAGACGAGGATTAGAATTGCTGAGGCTAAAATACATAAAGTCTGACAACTCACCTTAACACATTAATTTGCAATACACTTACATGTACATGTATTACAGTCAAACTATGTTATATCGAACTTAATGGGACCAAGAAAAAAACTTGGATATATCTCCGAGGATTGAAGATTTTGAAGTTAAATGCATAAAAAAAATAAATATATTTGCAAGTGTCATCAGAAATCAAAAGCAAATCACACTATACAGTAACACTCTTACATGTACCACTATACGGACCAGTATCTGTAGAGCTTTATATATCACACACCAAAGTAATTCTACATACAAGACATACATATATCGACCAAAATATATCGACTGAAATACTCCCTTAAAAAAAAAACATATAGAATTTAAAAAAAAAAACCAAAACAATACTTCCGCTAAATATTACATAGAACTTACAATATGTAAATTAAGGAGATCCACCAATGCAATTAACAAAGAACTTACAATCGATGAATTAACGAGATCCGCCAACGCTTCCTCGAGTTCTTCAAATTCCCCGGACTGGAATAAGTACTCTGCGACTGCAGCAGGCGTGAACTTGAAAACATCAGAGTAGTCATAGTCCTAAAAAACGGAAAAAAAAAGAAATTTATATTTATGAAATTCAATGCGTATGTGGAATGTGCTAATTGAACAAGTAACAATGGCAATTTTTCTGTCCTTTTTGTGATCTTTCACCTCGATAGAAAAAAAAATTATTTGGCCGGATATATACTTTGGAAAGCACGGTATTTGTTTATATTTTTTGTTATATTCTCATCACATGGGATAAGGATACCCCAAACTGTAAATGCCTGTTAAAGCTGAATTAACTCTTCCCCAGAAGCAATTGTTATTATACTAAACAGGGAGAAGCATTAATTCCCCAAAGATCCCGACTACTATAAAGTTACAAAAATGGCACTGTTGCTAAGTTTACGACTGCTGACAATAACTTTTTACCAACGAAGAACCTTTCAATTTTCAGGAAATTTTATTTTAATTGCAAATTACAAAGGCAGCTGTTAATATTCAGACTTTGAATGCCAAACTTGCAACTCTGAATTTCAATATATTATCTTCTTACTCTAGCATTATTAGTATCACAACTACTACCGGCAGCATTGACCTAATTAAATCAGAATAGGACCAAGATAACTGACATGCTTTGTACTGATACCCTGAAACAAGCACAAGCAACCATTTTCATGATCAATTTGAGCATTTAGTTATATGAAAATAAGCATTTAATTCTGTAAGAACAGAATGACGTCAAGATATGACGTATGTTGGTTTGAAAGCTGTTACATGTAATGATCAAGGTAGTATTACTTAAAAAAAAGATAAATTCGGGAGAACCATTTTGTAATCATTCAAAATGTTTTCCCACACTTATGCGATTTTAAAGAAAAGAAAGAACAAACGTCGTCGTCAATAAAAAGAGCAAGCACCCTCCTTTCGTCTCTAAATCCGCGTACACACACATGCTGGTTATGCTTATTATATTTATAAAATACTACCTGTATATTGATTAAATAAATGGTAAAGCTGAGCATAAGCTTGTTTTTTTCTTTATGCTTTCTGTTAATGCTGTTTGTTCGATGATTGATGCTTGTTGAGGTTGATTTAAACGCTATTGATTAAAAATCCAAATTTTCTAACACTGATTTATGTATTGGAAAATATTGCGCCCATGCACTTCACTCATTATTTAAAAATCAAACACATAGTGTTCGACTTATCAAATCCCTAATCAAAATTATTTATTTTTATTTAATAAAATAATAACACCATTAATACTGATATCAGTTTACCATGTGTTAGGTTAGGGCACCATTATTTCAAACAACGTTTAAAGTGACAACTTATAACTGACGCCATTTACTCTTTCTCAATATGGAGCTGAGCTGTGATTTAGATCTTTCCCGACACAAAAAAATGCAATAATCCGCTAGGGGAAGCATTAAAGTGATCTCTTACATTACTTTCACCGATAATTATGTGGAATAATTACGAGAACGCAAGTTTCTGACAGCGTATCATCGACTGAAAGCCCTCCACGACACATGTCATGCCTCGGGCTCGAGATACACGGGTCTTAATGTAGAGCCTCCATCTGACCATAAAACTTAATTATGAGATGACGGAGCACGTGGAAAGTGTATTTTTACTGGATTTAGAGGATTTTCTCCTGGCAAAAGAAACTGGATAAAGTCTGTCTAAAGTTGGACGATGTCCCGAGTTTAATCTGATCATTAAAAAAGGCGCCGAGTGGTTTTAAAATTTTGCCTTAAAACCGCATCTTTGCAGAAAAATAGTTTCCTATGGTTTGTTAAAAGCAATATACTTTCAATATCAAACACCGTTCTAGCTTGACTCGTCACATATTTATGCTATTATAAAATTTAAAGTAATATTTCTTTAGGACAGTTGAGTGTCCTATATAGAGTGATGAGAAAGTCTTTTTTTCTTAGCTTAGGAATGCGGAAAAAACCCACTTCAATAATCTAGAAAGATTTACTGAATATTTTTTTATATCTAATGTTAAAGTTGTCAGAAACATATGATTTACATTTGTAAATTGAAATTGAGAGATTCTTGATGATTTCAGAACTAGCATAAATCATCCATTAAACCTTTAAACTTTATTCTTGTAGCCTTTTAAAGGGACGTGAATCATTTTTACACTGCTGAACCGTTCATTTACTTTAAAAAAAAGTCATGAAGAAAATATGCTTATCAAATGTACATGTACAACAAAAGCTTGTATTTGACAGCCACAGAACACTTCATGGTAATTGGTTCTTATATATGTCGAATGTGTGCTCTTTATCTTTTTCGAAAAAAGAGTACTTTTTAAAAAGAAAAAAGATCTTTCTTTGAACTTGTTTGTGAATTTAAGAAAAAATGGAATCTTAACATCATTAAAATCGGGAAAGGTATGGAAAATGCATTGTATTAATGAAAATGTTAAATTTGTATAAAAATCATAATTACACACATTGTATCTCTTCTGTTGTTAAAAAGGTCAAAACGGAATCGAAAAACCTATTCCCTTCAACACCATTAAACTTGTATCAAATAAACAACGGCGGCAAAAACAGAATTCATGACTTATTTAACATGAAACACATCTAGAAAATGTGCAAAGAAAACTGAGCCAAGAAATGAAGTTAAAGAAACTAGATAACAGAAAAATCGTGGGTGTCGACAACTATTTCAATTGATTTATGAAAGGGGTTAATGCGGATACTTGTGACTGGGGTTAATGCGGATACCTTATTTTCTTGTCAGCTGCTGTGCCGATCAAATATTTACTTCGGGAGCTAAATGTCACATCGCGGTAATTAGCAAGGTCGAGGGCTTTTCCATAATTTATCACACGGGATCAGAACAGGCGGAGGTATACAATGAAATCAATGGATACTGACTTACTCCTCCGTTTATTATAGATCGGGTTCTAGAAGAGAAGGACTTTAGAAAACTTATTAATATTTCTAAATGTCTTACTATATTACAAAGAAACAAAAGACTAAGGGGCCACAACGCTCACTCACCTGAGTTACTTTAACCCTAACATTCTTCAAAAGATTGATATATTTCAATGAAAAATTATGACCTCGTATTTTGCCCCCCCCCCCCCCTCCATACTCTAAGAAACTTAATCCACACACCGTTGGGATACTTCGATATCAATATGAAAAAGGTGAAGATAATGAACAGTGATGGATTAAAAAAAAATCTAGAAACAATACAAATCTGTGAAGAGGGCATAAAACAAGGACCCTGGAAATTCCAGTGGTGGGATCAGGTGCCTTGGAGGAGTAAGCATCTCTTGTTGATTATAACATGACGGCCTTGCAGTTTTTGAGAAGAAAATTCTTTTCCTGCATACTTGCATTATCAAATAAAATTAATTCCTGATTTTAACCACCTCTAACCAGAGCTCCATAATTTGAAGGAAAAAAATAAATCCACACATCTTGGGAATGTTTGCAAATTAAAGGTTCTATTGTGTTTCTTTAGAAGAATATTCAAAAAAAATCTTATACACTTTGCTCCCCCTTTTTGGCTTGACCTTTCTTCCTGGGACCATGAGTTGAACAGTTTAGAATCCATCCTACCTCATGAAGTTTTCGCATAAGTTACATTTTTTTCTGATTAAGGGGTTCTTGAGAAGATGATTTTTAAAGATTTTTGATATATATTTCAATGTAAAAATTGATCGTTTATTTTGGACCTCCTACCCCTAGGGCCCATGATTTGAAAATTTAAGAATCTACTGTACGTCTTTCACATAATTTCATCTTTTATAGTCCAGTGTTCCCGAGAAAAAGATTTTAAAGGTTTTCTTAAGTTTATATATTTCAATGTGATATTTTGATCCCTTACTGTGCTCCCCCTCTACCCCCGGGTTCCATGATTTGATCAATTTAGAATCTACCCTTCATCAGAAAGCTTCCACAAAAGTTTCATCTTTTCTGGTGCAGTTGTTCTTAAGCAAGAGATTTTTAAAGATTTTTCTTTATATATATTTCAATGTAAAACGTTCAGCCCCTTTTGTTGCTCAACTGTACTCCCAGGGGTCATGATTTGAACCCTTCCCTTCTCCCTTCCTCGGGAAGGTTCCACATGAATTTCATATTTTCTGGGCCAGTGGTCTTTGAGAAAGATTTTTAAAGATTTTTCTTCAATGTAAGAATTTCATACTCTCTTGTGGCCCCACCGTAGCCTTGAGGTCATGATTTGAACAAATTAGAAGATACACTTCCTCAGAGAGCTTCCACATACCTTTATTGTCACATGGATATTTTTTATTCGCTTGAAGCATCACAATCTATATAGTAATAAATAACAATTTTAACAAATCCTAGGAACATACACCAAAGCAGGTGTTCAATGGTTATTGGGGCTTCGGTTTTTACAGTCTCAATCAAAAAATCTGTATCTCATACTGTCTAACACTGAACATGTTTGTTAACGTGATTGCCAAATTCAAAGGAACTCTAGAATTGGAGACACATTTGGCACACGGATTGAGAAATACTTGCATTATATTGAGCTCAAGATCTCGGAATAATGAAATTCCATTTTAAATAAGGCTTGAGTTTATCGCTATTGTTACATATAGCGATGAGCTAGGCATCAATCGTAGCAATCTCACAAAAATAAAGACAAATTGCGAGTGCTGTGTGGGGTTAAGATTATTTCTTTACTCAATATGTACCCAAATCTCGCTAGAATTGGAATAAATCAAACTTCTGCAAAAATGTGCGCACTCAAGGGAAGTTACTCTAGATAGTCGCATTAAAACCTATTGTAACCTCCTATTTTGCAGTCTTTGATTAGTCCCAATCAGAGGTCAATTTGAATATACAACCATGCGCAGACAAGCAAGCATGCATGTATCTTTCTGTTTAGCCTCGATTAGACACTACTTTAAATGCAATTTATTTAGAGCTAAGCTTTTAATTAGTACATGTAGATCTCGTATTCATCAACTTTATAAATTATTACCGTTTTTGACATTGGCTGCTCTGGTTTATTTTCACTAATCACTTTTTGATGAACATTTGCTGCGGGAATGTCTATTTTTGTTTTCACTTTGCTGCCATCGTCCCCTATAGTTTCCTGCTGCAAGTCGGATATCATTTCACCCGTTTGAGAGTCGAATACTGAAAAAAGAGTTAGAAAAAGATTTTAATCAAAATGGCTTTAGACGTTTATAACGTGTCATATTCACAATATTTGTGTACATGCTTATTATATATTTAATCTGCATGATTTTGTTGGTATAACTTCAAGGTGTGGGGGAAGGAATAGTTTGCAGATCTTCAGTAAGGTAGTAATATTGATTGATTTTGTCTTATCTCCCGGTCAAGAATCTTTCAATGCGTCACCATATATCAAATTTATACCTATACTCGGCATTCAGGGTAATTAAGCAGTAGGGTTCTTTATCGTGTCAGAGCCTACCGTGAAACAGGACCTACCCTTGGCTTTCACTTCTGATGCCGTGCGCATTGCTATTGAACAGTTAAAGCTGAACACGATTCGTAAATAGGCATACGCCATATTCGATTAAACTATCTACGATATCAGCACCGGGATATACCCTTCGCATTTGTTACACCTGACTGCTTTATTGTCACGGGTATCAGCGTGGAATGGCAACACGTGTTCGTGCTGGTTATCTTGCATTGCCTTTGTTTATTTATTATATTGCGTTTACGTGTATTTGTTTTTGTTTGTATACGACACTGACTTGTGCAACTGTTGTAAGTTTCTTTGGTGTCTTTCTCTCCTGTCGTAGAAGAAATACACGGTTATTTTTTTTCGCTATCGAGTGCGGTGTAGCATGCGTCCGTCTACACCGGTGACAACTGATTATACTGAACAGTGACTAAGTGAGTGGCTTATATAGAGGCCCTCAGATATAGCGAGCGAATAATCGAATATGGCGGACAAATTCCTTTTTACGAATCGTGTCCAGCTTTAACGTCTTACGAGAATCGAACTCGGGTATCGATCCCGATCACAAAGCCAACTCCCTACCACAAGGCTACCGTGACCGGTATAAATCAGTAACAAGAAATATTAAGTACGCTTCTACTGTTTACTTAGTGTATGTATTTATGTTTAAAGTTCATCTTTTTTATTTGATTTGAAAAATAACTTTTTGTGTCTGTAACGTGTGTTTACGCAGACAAGAAATCAATTTGCACAGGAAGTTTGCAAAAAATCTACAATAGGCCTTGTTTTGAAACCTATTTAAGCAATTTACTCTCTATAATTATCATTTCATTGGCCATGATAAAAAAAGTTTAACCGTACTTTAAAAGCTCTGTTATTAAACATTACACTATAACAATTAACGAAAGGTTAAAATGGATGCTGTCTGGAAAACATATATTCTGTGTATACATGTATTAGCGCATTAAAACTTTATCGAGTACTGAAATGTAAGATAATGCTTAGTCTTGTCTGGTTTCATTGAAAGTCATGAAGGATCGATTCCAGAACATCATATTTCATTGTTTATTGTCATAGAGACTTTCATTTTCTGTTGTTTTTTTAAATAATAATATGTACATTGAGATACGTATACGTAGGTGTCAGTTTTGGGAGAAAAAAATGTTAATTGGAATAAAAGCATCAGAAATCTTTTTTTTTTATTCTTTTGTCGTTGTTATTGCTGAAGAAAGTACGCTTTACATTACCTATATGAACTGAAAATTAATCGGTCAAAGGTAGGGATGGGCAAAATTAAATTTTTGCTGCAAGCTACATAGGTGTGTTCGGCAATATGGAGACACGACAATTCTACATACTTCTAGATGTACATAAATCTCAAATTTAGTAATAAAGTAAGAAATCTATTTAAACTTTTAATAAATTTCTTTGATAAGTTTGGATTACTCTTTTAGATAAAGAAATAAACGTTAAATAATTCAACCTGATAATAATTTATCGGTGGCCTACAGTAAGTCTAAAATTATTTCACGAAGCCGAGGATTATATACAATGTATTACTTTGAAATCAGTTATTTTCGTGGGGGTTTAATTTTCGTTGTATGAAGAGACACATGAATTCATGTCCACCACGAAAAGCAAAATTTCAAATAAAGATTAACTCAGCACTCTTTTAACCCCGAAATCAAAATCTCTACAAACCAATGTTTTTCCCTCGAACCACGAAAATCTGACCCCACGAAAACAAGTGATTTCACCGCAGTATATGACGTGACCTAATTTATAACCTACCTTTGTTTTCCGTCTTCGCTTTACTTTTCACGTGACCGTTTGAATTATGGAAGGAAAATGACTTTTGTTTCTGTATTCCGACATTTTGTGAGCCAGATTTTGCTGCAAAAGAAATATTAGTAATATTTTAATTAATTCAATAAGTGTCAAATGTGCATGTCTATAATTATTGATTAGATACATTTACATATATATTACACGTACCGGTATTACTGAATATAACGAAGTAGTAATATCATGAATTTAAACAATAAAAGGTTTTCTTTGTTTGTAAGTATGGGAATGATTATCGCAGCTGTTGCAGAAAAAATACAAAACCCGCGTAAGCGGGTTATGTAATTTTTTTTCTGCAATAGCTGCGACGTACTAACAAACAAAGAAAGACATTTTATTGTTCATTTTTATATCTGTATATAAAAACATTTAAAGTAAAATCAAATATGTTAAATATTGTATTATAGATATGTATATCATTGTATGCATAATTCATGGAACAGCCTTTGCTCAAGAAATCTATGAAGGTGGCTAGCTTAGTGTCGTTTACTGACTGATGAACAGCAATGGTTTTCATAAGAAATAAAGGAAACAATATACAGTGGATGTTGATATTATATTATGAACACAATTGCAGCATACTTTGCAGGGCAAAATTAACAAAAAATTGCCCAATAACTTGACACTTTTACGAGGAAATGATTGTCATTAATCCCAGAAAGAGTTATCTTTCTTATCAGAGGGTCAGTGAACCTTAAGCGATTTTTAAGGTACCCTGCAAAGCCATGTGATCCACAGGTAAATTACAATTTTATGAGGCCATCTTTAAAAAAAATGATTGGTTGTCCTCTCCCGAACGACTGCTAAAAATGGCCTGACTCAAAACTTGTTTTTAACCTCCAAGAAGCAATTATATTTTTTATGCATTCAGGAAAAAAGGTTTTGAAAATTCAGCACTGATTTTGAAATTTTCTTTAAAAAAATTCTCACCTACCTACCGACTCATTTTTTTTTCATCCTGAGTCGGCAGAAGGCAAGCAAACATTATTCTAAAGTTGACCTGAATTATTTTCGTTTATATTTCAGGAAAAAAAAATCACGTTAGCTTAAAGTACTTATTCTTAAAGGAAAATTTTTTATGACACATTTCTTTTGACTGACGTGAGATCAAATTAGACAACCCTGTCTGTGTATCTTTAAGTGATCTTTCCACTACATACCAAAAGGAAATAAATGTTTCTTTCCTGTCACGAAACATTTTAAATTGCCGCAAATAAGAGACACTTTTTCATATTCTTACATCTTTTATGTGTAGCCTAGTTTAGAACGTAAATCGGTTTTTTGGTTAGAAAATGTTAACGATGTAACAATGTGCTAATTGCTAGCACATCGGGCTTAACGTTTTCGTGACGATTCTAAATGACAATTTTGTGACCACAATTCTTCATGGTGTTAAAGCAATAAAAGAACTAAAGTTCTGACAGAAATCTTTCAATTTATGAGCCCAGGGAACAAAGGAGATAAAAACAGAATTTGCAGAAGTCATTTGAACCGACTACCTTAGTCAGTCGAAAATCTGATTAATTCTATCCACGGGCGGATCATGTTTTTTTTTTCTCCCCAGAAAGGAGGGATAATAAGAAGAAAATGTGAATAGCTTTTTTTTCGTAAACTGTATAGCAAATAATAAAAAATTTTAAAGGGATTGTATAAAAAGACACAATGATATTAGATTGCTTTTGCAATTTTTTTTAACAGAGTTGTCAAAAACGTACACGTATACCCAGAAACATCGGCATATGAAACTATATTGTGAAGAAAGTTCAAAATCACCCGCTAGGCTGGAAATGGCTGAATCCTTAAATACAAACCTCAGCTTACGATCTTTTAGTTTTTATTTTTAAACACGTATAAAAGGAAATCAAACCTCCTTTTAAACTACGTATAACTTAATTACGCGAAGTTTTCATCAATATTCATACATTTATCTGGTGCACTATATAATCGGATATTGTTCTTTTTTTTTTATAAAAAAATAAAAGAATAAAACTATATAATCGGATATTGTTTAGCAGGGTGTGTTTATTCAGATAAACACATCCTCCAGTATCTCATAATGATCTAGACTAATTGCTTTCCCCTAATTAATTAAACGCCGGTGAGCTGGTTCATGCATTCGCTTTGATTAGATGTATGATTACTAGATACATTTTTTTTTTTGTATTAGTCTGATTATATTTAATCATGAGTTCATGACATGATTTCTTGGTGCCCTTTGAAGAGATCCACGGGTTGAATTTTGGGCTTTGTTTACTTTTGAAAAACTTAATCCTGGCCATAATTGTTGAAAAGTTGGTGCTACGACTTTCATATTTCACATGTATTTTCTTTTTGACAGACCTTTTTGGGGTACTATCAATTTTGACCTCATGACCTTGGAGTTTGACCTACTTTTGATAAATTTCATACTTTGTCACAACTAATGAAAGGTTGTTAGTACGACTTTCATATTTTCACTGGTGTATTCCTTTTTTCTGAACCAGCAATTTTTACCTCTTGACATTGATCTTTGAATTTGACCTGCTTTTGAAAAAATTCTACATTGGCCATGAGTTGTCATTGGTGTTTCACGTACACATTATTGTTTTCCTTATTTTGACGTGATTTCTTAGGCTTTATATGTTGAAATTTTCCGAAACATCACAACTTAAGCGAATAAGAAAGGGGAAAAAAGTGTGTATGGTCTAAAATCACTTTTCAATAATTTGCCGACATGGAGTCATATTTGGACAATCTGGATCAATCAAAATAAATAGATATGGACTGTATGCTCGTACGACATTTTACCGATAGTATGTAATTTTACTGACACTGACATTCAACTCACATACGTCAATCCTTTTTTATTTTCCCATCATGACAAAGAGCAAGCGGCGGGTGTGACCGGTCGGCACCGGATGCTAACTCCTTCACGGCACCTGATCCCACCTTTGATGTTTTTAGAGGTCCGTGTTTGCTGTGCACCTGATTTGTATTTTTCCGTAGACCTTTTGAGCTTGATTACTGTTCGTTATCTCCATATTAGATTAAAAAGTAATTTAACTGAAATACAATAAATTTAAGAAAGTAGAAGAAATTGTAACGAATACCATTACAGATATTTCCTTTTCCCTTCTGTTGTCCGATTTTCTACATCTGTGACTTCATTAAATTCGGCAATGCATTCGGTTTACAGCTGTACACTTTATTTTCAAACTTTATTTCCCCAGATAAAACAACAAATAACGCCATAAGAGTAATTAACCTGATTAACAAATCATTTTTTTAGTGCATTAAAATATCACATTATAATAACTATTAGACAGCATTCCATACATAAGATTGAAGAACCTACGCTATTGAGATGTAATTCATAAGTCAAATGCAAACAAGCAAATGCGGTCATAAGGAGAAACAGTTACATTCACAGAAATTGAGATGCAATTGCAGAGATATCAACTTTATAGGGAAATTACTATGGATATGCAGACATAATTTATAAACAATTTTATAGGGACAATATTATAGATATGCAAACATGTTATTTTATACTTCAGACAGAATTTATTTCTATCTGGTTTTTCTATTTATTGAAGAAGATTTCGTAAAAATCGACAAAGACTTTGAAAGTTATATTTCCTTTTAGATGTTAACATCTAGTAACAAATTCGTTTTGATTCGTTTGCAGAATACATCACTGCTTGATTACTATGTACTTAATTTCCGAAGTACTTATAGTAAAAAAAAAAAAAAAAACCAAAACAAACGTAAGTTTATACTGTATACTAAAATATATACATGTGAGTGTATAAATTGGTAATTTTTCAAACCAATCTGAACAACATATTTTTTTTTTACTTATTTCACACTGTCCTTAGAATTGTGAGCTATTTTCACGTCTGTTATAAGATGACTTTGTCCTTTGGCCATTACTTTTTTCTTATTATCGATTTGTTAATTGCTGATTATCAACGGGAGACCAGGGTGGTAGATGCAGCATCGAATGACATTTGACCGAACTGAACTGACATACTATACTAACGACCTTTTTATACGTCAGCTTTCCTTATACAATCAAAATTACCACATATGGTCACGATAGAATAAGGGTTAAGGACTTGTGTATTTCTGGAATTCCTTTTCATTAAGGATGGTCGACTGAGATAATACCGCAAATATTTTTAACAAATCTGCAGAATTGATACAAACTCTTTCTCTCTTAACACCTTTTTTTCGATGTTTGGTGCGTAGCGGGGAGGGGGTCTAGGTGAAGGGCGAAAAGGTGTTTTTTTTTTTTTTTTTTTTTACTATCATAAAATGTGATTTAAAACCTCTAGCCCAAAATACCAGTTAGCAAACATTACAGTGCATTCATTATATGATTGTTTCAAAGGGACACTGTACGATTTTTTTGTAAAGAAAAAAAAGGGGGTGCCTATTACTTGACTTCGAGTTAAAGAGAGAGATAGACAGAGATGAATAGCAAACAATCAATATCAAATTATACTCTAGTATGTGGAATAGGCATTACGCACCATAATGATAATGGAAATTACTCAATTTTAAATTATTTATGCATTTGCTTGTGGTCAATATGTTACATACCCGCAAGATCCGCCAATTCTTCGATTTCTTGCTCTGTGTTCTTTATCTGGGAATAAGAGCGAAAATATGAATCTCATCGGCATCGTGTATAAATGAAAAACATTGCATTGGTTTATAAGAAATCTTTACATTCATCATAGACTGAACAACGACTAATTAATTAATTAATTAAATTCAACCAGTAACAAGTTTTAAGTACTCACTGCCTCTAATTCCCGTGTTTCTTTATCTGCAAAGATAAGCTTATTATCATTTATAGACATAAAACTATTGCACTTAAATTAAAATGTGTTATTAATTTTTTTCCCCAAAAGATATAAGCTTAATTTGTTTTAGATTTATGTAAATGAGTGAACATAGGGTACACAGATGGTTATGTTTGTGTAAATCATTATTATTTCACAATTAAATTGTAACATGCTAGATACTGTTTGTGCATTTGCATTTTTTTTTTGGCGGGGGGGGGGGGGGTTAAGAGTTAAACAGAAAGACCCAGGGTATTACTTTGATTATTGTTTAAAACTTAATTATTATATATATATATATATATATATATATATATATATATATATATATATATATATATATATATATATATATATATTTTTTTTTTTTTTTTTTTTTTTTTTTTTTTTTTTTTTTGGTTATTAAATACACGCCATCTTGAAGTTAGTATGAAATGTACAATCCATGAAGAACATCTGTAAATCTGTAAAGAGGATTGCAAAAGGATTGTCCATACATAAAAGTAATATAAAAACATTATTGATATATTGCTCCATAAAGTAGTCGGGTTATGATTGAACACGCAGTAAATGTTGTTTGGTGATAGACGGATAAAGTACATTTGTATTATTGAAAATCAATAGACGCCCACCAACATGGAGAGAAAGAAAGAAACAGAGAAAAAATTTAAGAGGCATTTAATTTTTTTTTATACTTCTAGTACATAAATAACTTGGTTTGGAATGCAGATATTATAATTATCAATTGACTTCACATTTACTAATTATTATAGGCCCACGGCTGTCTTATATATTGTTTGCTTTCCTTGCAAGCAGTTTGTTCGTTATTTTGAATTAATTTATTGCCCTCTATTTAGTCTGTACATTCTAACGCTTTGCAAAAGAGCAGCTGGTCGGATCTTGGTCTTGCCTACGCTTTAATTAATTCTTAAGCTTCCTGCAGTGTACAAGATCTCATGTGACAGGTCAAATTGGTTCGGAGGCGTCAGAAAATCTACCGTATTCTCGCTAATGTAGACAAAAACAGAAAACTTGACATTCAAAACAGATCAATTTCGCGATTCCTTGCGGAAAGATTTTTGCGAACGTATTAAAGATATACAGTGTGACTATGATGCTACAGGAGTGGGTTAATGGAGAGACGAAAAGCCTTAATACATATATAGGTGAGAATGTATAGCGTGATGTGTGAGACAGTGCATAATTACTTCAGAGAAATGGCCCCACTTTTGTATTCATTGGCAGAAAGAATTCGGTATTTTTTAGTGTCTTATTTACATTTTAAGCTAAATACAGAAATAGTACAGTTTCTCTGCTCTACGGTAGCGTTGCTTCATTGATAGATCTACTTGTGCTTGGCTTAAAATTAATTAAAAGCTTTGGAAACTTACTATCAGTAAAACATTTGAACGTGTATCATTACATTAACTTCATCTTTAAAAATAGGGGGTCCTTTTTAAACTGATATTTAAAGGACAAAATCTGCCCAAAATTTAATCTAATCTTAAGTTTGCCTATTGATTAACGTATTAAAACTTCCAAAATATATTTTATTAGCTTGGTATCAAAATTTATACAGAGAATGAATAACACAACGCAACCATATATCAAAGATCATTGAATACAGAGATCTCCATAAAGTTTGCAGTTTTCTTCCTCATATTTTGAAATTCATTTCTTTATCATTGTTTTTTTTCTATATTGCACGTGCAAAATTTTGTTTGGTAAAATAGTAATTCTATACCAATATAATCTCAGTTCTCATATTTTAAGCGTTTTGTCTCCTTAAAAAACTTGAAACATGAAAAACCATCTTTAGAAATGCTGAAAATTGCTGAATCATTGTAGAATCGCTGAAAATTGATCGGGAAGATTTTAAATAACTATAATAAGAAAACACTTTGAGAAAACATTCTTGAAATTAACTGTTCACCTCATAATTTGTTAAACTCTGCAACTTTAATGACATGTTCTTGAGGAGTATCTTCCTTTTCATGACTAATAACAGACAATTTTCCAACAGAAACCCTTTATTTATTTTCTGAGAACAGTGATTATGTCTTCCTACTCAAATAAATTTGTAAAACATATTGTTGATTGACTTAGAAAAAAATTAAACCTAATAATTTTTCCTGACAATATGCCCATAAAATCTCGGCCCCCGCTTTATCTAAGCAATTACCGGTACACAAGACATTATTTCCCTAGACTCATAAATCTCATTAATGTACACGACAAATTGCGTTTATATTTCATCAAACACGCGTTTCATCAAGGAGGGACATAGTTGCGATACTTCATTACACAATCTTGATGTACAATTGCATCGCCGTAGGAACCGGGGGAGGGGGCACCCCCCCCCCCCAATAATTTTGCCGATATATAGAATACAATAGAAAATATAGCTGCTATATGCTTGTGTCCCCTCAATAATAATGTCTGATGACTTTTTTTTTTTTGCTTGTCAAGGAATTTTGGTAGTTCATAGTGCCCCCCACCAACTGAAAATGTATGGTTGTGCCTCCTCAGAGTGAAATTCCCACTGGCCTGAATTGACTTTCTCAAATGTCATAAACAAATACTACAGATTAACGAATATCTAAGACATGCCACTATTTGGTCATTTACTAGTTAGCCCACGAGCTGACTAGTTCCGTTGGGATGAAACTGCAAGTGCCCTAGCGTAGATTATAATTCTGGGGAAAATAGTTAGATGATTCATTTTAAAGAAATTCATATTACATGTACTCTCTTACCAGAGGGCGCCCTTCGTCATATGCACACTCTCGTCAGTGATAGATTGATGAGACTGCCCCTATTTATAGACTGGTCTCTTTTCCGCCGTTCTCGACGACGAAGTATAAATTATGAACACTTTTAACTGGGAAAGTTGTCTTGAAGTGTTTGAGACAAAAATGCTTCAATGCTGCTCTAGAACTCAAAGTAAATGGCCTGTACAGTTTATAGCTAGAGCAAAACAGGATACTAATAACACACACCCCCTCCCCCTCCGGAAAAAAACTCACGCGATGATGGTCTTACCATATACATGTACATGTATTATAAATGAGTTTAAAATACATCTTTTTGTACACTTTTAAAATTGTTCAGTTTTTCTTTTCAATCGTTTTCAGGACCTTTCTCATAATTTATAATTACGTGCTTTTTTATGAAATGAAAACCAGTGTAGATCATGATGTCTTCTTCATTTTGCCGATTCTTTGCTTAGAATCTTATGGGAGTGAAGCCCATTCCTCTACGGGTACTGACCTACACTGTTGTCACTGTAATATGCTACTGGCAGACTTTCTAAGCTTTTTTAAAAGCCTAACCTTGTTAAGTACTTAATAAATAAATGTAATATTGAAAGGAAAGATGGAAAACAGTGAATCAAGAAGGGATGTCCCATTTACTAGGTGAAGGGAGAAGATTGGACTAGTCCACGTATAGGATAAATAGTAAGAATAATCAGCGAATCCATTGCTTTAGTGTTACCTGCCCATATACAATGTGTTCTTTAAAAAAATGAGATAAAATTTACTGTTAATAAAAAAATCTAAAGCTTAAGAATCAGGTTAAAAGAATAAACTTTATTTATTTCCATAGAAGTTATCACACCCATTCAATAGAACAATCCAAGAAAAAGGCGCGAAGATAATTGTCGCAAAATGACTGTGACACCCCTTTCGTAGAAGGCAAATGGACTGATCCAGTAGTTTAGAAACGCAGAAAAAATGTTACACGGACATGTCCATACAAAGAATTGCAAAGAATAAGCATGTGCATGCAAAAAACTGAAGGAATTAAACACATCAATAATTTGCATCAGTAATATGATTCTTTCTTCTGTAAACTGTTTTTCTTTAAATGCAGGTAACAAATTCCGTTGTAAATCAGCTTGCACAAAATCTAGTTCATTAAGAATGATCGCTTAGTTTCGGATCTTGAAAAAATTAATCCTTATACTGCCTGACGCACGTGGCGTCAGGCAATAATTCTTCTATCTAAATCAAGACTCACAAATACGCTTGTCTTCATCAGACTTCGGTGAAATAGTCGAAGCGTCTTGATGATCAAGACTTTAGCTAATATCAAAAATTTCCTGATTCTCCTTTTATTTCCGGGAAGACAATTTTTATTTCACAGCGGATGAATTAACCAGCTCAGAAAATGTTACATACAGGCTTTATAACTATAGGGACTTATTTCCATTACTCCCGAGAGGAAAACGAAGATCATTTTAACTAGTCCTATATCGCCCACGGTAAAACTCCCTGTGACATTTCTTTTTCACGGAAATGATATAATGTTTCTCTATCATTAATCAGGACGTTTTTAAAAAAAATGGTTTCTTGCTTTTATATTTGAAAAAAATACATGATGATTATATCATTGTGTATATAAATAATCTGATCTTATTTCCGATTTAAAAACATAGGGATCACTAAATTTGCTATTGTCAACTCATTGCATCTGATACAATACAGTCAAACATTTTCCCAATCACATTGACATATCTATGGTATTCGAAATATTCGTGTTTGAGATACCGAAGTTCAATTGTATTTATACAACGCATGCCAATTGTGAGGTGAACAGATTTGTTGAATGATGCACAAGGGATTTAGGGGATTTCTACCCCTTCCCCGTGTGTTTGCATGTGAATTACATAATGTTTTATGTTTTTACTGTTTCCTTAGAAATTGATCAGATATAATAATAAAGAGGATTTTAAAGAAACGCTAGGAGGATGTCCGAATGACTAACGGATCCTCTCTGACCACATCCACATGTGATTTGGACTTAGTAGAGGATCAATAAATCAAATCCGCGAATGTCTTCATTTACACGGCAAGACAAACTAGGAAGAAAAGAAGCTCTTTATTAGACACTTGACAAAATACTGTTGCTATGGTTATCATTAATTCTCCGTCCTGTCTCAGCGGTTTTAAGTTATTGGTAAATCGTGAGGAAGAAGAAAAAC